TATCGCCTTACTACCGCCACCGCTAAACCACCATGCCATCCACTTGACGCATATGCCACTTTTCAGATTTCCCTGTGTTTATACCGTATACCTCGAGCGTATACCGTCTTTTCTAATTTTCTTTTTTCCCTCTCTCTCTCTTTCTTTCTCTCTCTCTCTCTCTCTCCTTTTCCTATCGACCGTGAATTTCCTCGATTCAGAAATAGAGGGGACGGAAATAACGGCCGGTGATGTACAGGTTGATCTTTATCGAGTGATCAGAGACTGTTACGTGTCTGTCTGATACGAGTCCCGAGGACATGTGGAAATATTGTTCGCGTGGGGAATAATTGGGTTTGGCTTCGTTGTTTGAACGAAGATTTCGCGATTAACTGGTTTTTCCTTTCGTTTGTCTTTTGTCGTTTCTCTCTCTCTTTTTTTTCTTCCTTTTTTCTTAATTTCAGTTATTACTGATAATTTTGCAAACATAAAATCTAATAAACACTTTTCAAACATCCAATTTTATCGAATACAATCGTTCGAATATTCTACACGCAATAATAATAATAAACATAGCAAATATATCTTTGCTAGAAACCTAAAAAGTGGAAGATGTCAATTACTCGTCAGACCCTCGACGCCTTCGTTCGAAATAATATCGAAGGAAAAAATATCCAACTGCATTGAAACTCTGTATTGGATAAATAGGAAATTTTTGAAGAAGGCTTTGCTTTTCGAAGAAGCGTTACGGTAGATTTTACAAATTTGACGTAGGCATACAGCTCGCTTGTACGAGTTGAGAGAAGGAAGGAACCGTGGGGTACAAGTTGACGTCACACCGTGTACTCGGTTGCAAAGATTCTCCGTTAGCGCTAGGGTAGAAATGTACGACTTGGTCAAATATTGAATTCCGCGGAAAATTGTGAGAAATCAGGCCACATGGTTACACGGCTCCATCCAGGTAGAATGATATCGTTCCGTAGAAAAGCTCGTTATTACACAAGAGGAGCGCCTGTTCAAACTCCGGCCATTGACGAAGTTGGTTCTACGCGGTTTGATTTGCTCATCATCGTCGCTTACAATAGCCTCCGCGATCTTTCCTGGGGAACATCGTAACGAACACTTCAATGATGTAACAAAGCAAAGAAAATTTTAACCTTTATCGAGGTCGCGACTCGTTCTCGAGTTGTTGCCTCAATTTTTGAACCCGTACAATATCCCGGTCAATTTGTATCTTTAATCGTCTGTATATCGTGATTTTCCTCGAATCCATCGAATATTCTCTCTCTCTCTCTCTCTTTCAGAAATTATTGGAATATTTAAAGCGTAAACTTTTTAATCAAGAAATTTATACGAATAATTTCTCGAATAATTAACGATGTCATTGAATGATGTTTTTGTATACAAGAATACAAAGAGTGATTCGAGAGAGAGAGAGGGAATATTTGGAGTGTAACGTTAATTAAAATCTTCGATAATTTGGTTACGATTTTATCGTAATACGATGAATAAAATGCATATATTGAAATACTGCGGGGTAACGTAACAATAACAAAACAATGTGACGTATAATAATATAATTTAACAATCGTTATTCGAAACAATATGTAGAATTAATCAAACTTTCAGTATTTTATCGAACGTTTTCTCGAATGTTGACACTTGTATTATTAAGACCGATTGAAAATTAATAAATCGCACGTTCTATGAATAATTTCCCGTAATACCAAATAATATAACGTTTCGAACAACGCTCGAAGAATACGAAGAACGATGCAATCTGCGATCTTTCAAGTCTTTCAAATCAAAATTGCCACCTCTGAATCTCCAACACCATTCTTGTACAAATCTCATCCGCAGTATCATTTGCACTATCACCTTTCTCTAAAGCATAATACGCCGCAAATATCCTTCCTTTGGATGTAGAAAAAAAGTTTTAAAACACACTGTTATCACCAACGAAACGTACTTTAAAAGAATTCTGAACGACTAATAGATAAGTCTGCATGTTCATATAAAAATAACCAGTTAAAAGTCATTTCTTGTCCCATTAACGAACTTATGGGACAGCCTAATAAAATTTCCACCGAGATAAGAAATAAAATGTTGCTCTTTCCTCGAGAATTCTTCGTATCTCAACGATACAACAATTATTAAGCGTCTTCTTAATCGTCGCTCCCCGCGCAACAGTGCCAACAGACAACCAACACCCGCCCCATTCCCACGCTAATTAACGTTTTATCATGGAGAATACATCGATTACATTACATCTCATGATCCCTAAACGTAATTGTGATTCAATTCTTAATGCGCGTGCACCAGCCACCGTGTCGGGCATGAAATTCTCCCGATTTCCGTTGACGTTGTTTTGCGGTCTTGGCTATCGGAAAAGAGAGCGTTTACTTTCAATGGTTAATGGCTGATGACGCGCGGTGAATGTAGCACCGACCAATCGATAATCGTCGCCCGTCGAGTCCCTCAACAGTCGTTACAGTTGTTCCATATCTTTTCCAATCATATTCTCCTTCTTTCGTGAGAGCCGATTTTTTTTTTTTCTTAATATTAAATTCGAGGAGAGATTAAGAATTAATTCTGTTCGATTTTTCTTTCTTTTTTTTTCTGTCGATACGGAAATAAATTAAAGATAATTTTTTTTTCTTCGTCAAAATTATCGATACCTCGTTAAAAAGTAACAAGCATCGCGTGAGCGGTTGGAAACACATTGGGAATACGAGAAGCCGGTGATCTAGAAGGGGGTTCGGGAGCTCTAATTATTAAACCGTCCTCATCAATATTCCAGTCAAGCAGAAGATACGTAGCGGAAAACGCGCGAAACGATGGTCATCGAAACGTGAATAATTACCAGTGGTACGATGAATGCGTAATGAAAGCTGTATTAATTATCATAGATAATTAAACACCGCGAACACGCTCTATGTTTACGAACAATTAACAACACGGAATTAACCCTGTTTTAGCCCACGATCTTTTGAAACTTTGTAAAAGAAAGAAAGAAACAAGTTCGAAACAGCTTCGAAATTAATTTTTTTTAATCGATGAGGGAAGGAAAAAGAAAAAGAAAATATCGAATCGACCTCTCTTCCCTTCGCGCCTGCCCTTGAAAACGCATCCTAAAACCACGCTCCGCTTCAAACTTTGCATAAACGTGGCCACGCGTCGGAGAAGAAACTTGCTCCCCCCTTGTAACTACTCGTTAAATATTTCCACGATAGTCGAACGACGAGTTCGCTTGGATCCAAGCGACGACGAGAATTGGATCGACGAGGTGTAGCGCGGAGAAAGAGAAAGAAAGAAGGACAGAGAGACAGAGAGAGATCGGCGAGGAAGAAACGATTACATCGGATCCCTGGCGTTACCTGGCCGGTAACAGTACGGCTGTAATCTCATCCAGCCACTCGGCTCGCAGCGACGCTTTTTATCCTATTACGTCACATGAATAAACTAAAGACCCATGGAGTCCGCGACACGCCGGAGAGATCGCGGGTTT